TCACCAACCCAGAGGACGAATAAAACCGTGCCAACTAAATATGATAATACAACCAGATTCCAAACTAAATTCCAATTTTTACCAGTGATATCCAAGATCAACCCCGTTAATGCAACACCAAATAATCCCGCCATCACTCCAAACATATTTCCTAATCCCCATATTACTCCTGCGTATTTAGGTGCTATATCAAGCTGTCAAATATAATATAAATTAATTTAAGATTTAGAATTCGTGATGTAATATAATTAAAATTACCTGAGACATATGAACACCAAAAAACAGAAACGACCCTATCGAACTTCCAATTGTCATTAATAAGATCCCTTCTATCGCTGTTTTTGATAAGTATACTGCCTATAATTTTTTTTTCAAATCATAAACAAAATAACAAATCATATTCAAGCATGCAAATAAAGGAATCATATTGAATATTGATAAAAGTGAATATAAATACTTACAAATAAAAAAAATATAGCGTTGCCAAAGCTTCCAATAATTTGCGCACCTCTTCTTACAGTAATCACCGGAATATTTAATTCGCTGACCAGATAATCACCGATTATACCACCGAAAAATCCAATAATTCCTGGTGGTACGTACGGAAGAACTAAAAGATATATACTTCCATACGTTAGTTTATATATTTAACTTAGTATAGTTTGATATTATTATGATTTATGGGAAATTCATATTTTGATTAGCATACCTGCAAAATACCCGAGTTTGTCTATATCTACACCAAAATGATCTAAATAATAAGTTGGCAACCAATTAAGCATTATATAATAACCAAAACAGTTGCAGAACTGTACAATTAGTATGGCCCATATTTCTCGCCGAGAAAAAATCAATTTCCATGGAATTCCATATTTACTTGAATTTGATGTTTCTAAAGTTTCATTTGATGCATTGCCAACCTTAACATATTTTTGATTCTGACTAGCTTTTAACAGTCTAGTATTTTCATCTTCGGTTGCAATTATTATTGATGATTCAATTTCAGGATCAATATCTCCTCTTGACATGCTAGACCCAAATTGACTAAATCTTAAATTGTTCCCATTTACATCATATTCACGCTTTAAAATCCATGATAATTCCTCTTCTGATATTCCGGGATAATCAATAGGACTACTAGAGCCTAGGAAATGCCACGCAACAGACCAAATACATCCGACAAGTCCAAATATTAAAAATATGCTTTCCCATCCGTAAGGGCTTGCAATTAACAAC